CCCCCCCCCAAATTGTTGTTACTGCTTCATTTGGTGCCTTTCGGTGAGGTTTGACGTTAAAGTAATGAGGAGTCAAGGCTTTTGACTCAAGGACCGCGAAGTGTACCTTGAGTCAAGGTACACTTCGCGGGGTAACATTCTACAGATGTGTAAACTGCTACTTCATGTAATCAATCACTGCGCACACTGATACAGTAGTCGGTTCAATTTCCCGTTGGGTGACCAGATCAGTGCTAGTTTCGAGGATCGGCAGAGCATGCCCGCAACGAATCTACCCGAACGTGTTCAGGATGAGGCAACCATACACATCCGCTTGGACACGCAATGTGCAACATCTCGATTTTTGGCTTGTCTTTCCAGGATTTTTCCAATCATTCTTCTCATCAGTCCATATACAGTGAAACCTGTCCTAATTAATAATCGCCGTTGCCAAGGTCACCATCAGATATAGCAATAATATCATGTAGTGGAGGATGGTAAGAACCCGACGCACTAACACTTCAAGTCATGGGCTCCTAAAACATAAATAGCTCGTCTCCGGGTTGTTTAAGGTTGCATTCAGAGCTTTGCGATCGGAAGGAAGGCAAAACACGTCGGGAACCTGACCCAGGAGCACAAAAATAGAAAATATGCACGTAGAAACGAGATTTGTAACCAAGCGAGCAGGATACCGAGATGGAGACAATCTCGATTGAGACCTTATTGGACGAGTCAGACATTTTGTTCATTCAGACGTCATCTGGAGAGTACCACGAGCCCGATAATGGCATTGAAGAGAATACAGAGCAGTCTGCCTACGAGGAAAACACTCAACAGAAGATGAACGCAGTCCGCAGTGTTATCTTCATGGTTGGTGACCATCCAGACTTGGAGGACGAGCTTATGTTGCCTCCAGAGCAAAATCCGTCAGCAACTAAGATTGGAAAGGAGACATCGATGAATCAGACTTCTATCTTCTTTTTTTTTAATGATGAGGAGCTCTAAATGCATTTTTAACACCAATAATACATTTGTTTTAGTATCAGATTTTGAAAATGTCGTATCAAGGATATCAGAGATGAGAGGGATCCGTTAGGACAGGATTTACTGTAAATGGATCAGCGGAGACCTTATTTGTGGCATCCATCAACCAAAATCTGGCATTCGTCGACAGTTTTGATGGTAAAAAAGGGGCATTCAATGCGCAAACTGTCGCCGAATTTCACAATCAGATCTTCCGTCTAGGGCGCACTTGACCATCACTCCTGCGCCATGTCTGCCGAGCCCGAGGTGTTCAAGCGCCTACCGACGTGTGTCGTGCCGGAGAAGGTGAACTCTTCGCCTCCCATTCCTTTCCTCTTCGTCTTGCGCTTGTACTCACGCCTCTCTCGTCTCCTACGCTGCAGTACCACGTGGATTATGAGCTCATCGACCTGCTCAACTTCCGCTTTGAAGGCTCGGAGCGCGTGTTGCTGCGCGTAGACGAAGCCACATCCGTCATCACCTGTCACGCTGTAGAACTCTACGTATTCAACGTATCAGTAGAGGACTCAGCCTCCGGGACGACGCAGCAGGCGCAGCAGATCACGTACCAGACCAAGGACGACTCGGTCTCTTTCCACTTCGCCAAGCCGTTGACGACCGGCTCCAAGGTGGCACTTAAGCTCCAGTTCCACGGCTTCCTGAACGACCAGCTGCGTGGCTTCTACCGTACCGAGTACGAGCACCAAGGGGAGAAGCGTGTGCTCGCTGTCACGCAGTTCGAAGCCTGCGACGCCCGTCGAGCCTTCGTTTGCTGGGATGAACCTGCTCTAAAGGCCACATTCGAGATCTCTATGGTCACAGAGACAGACCTTGTGGCTCTGTCCAATGCGCACGTAGTGGAGACGCTTGTGAGGCCTAAAAAGAACGCTCATATCCGTAAGAATACGCGATCGGACGTGGGTGGAGCCATGGAAAAAGTCTGGAAGTTTGCAGAGTCCCCTGTTATGTCCACGTACCTCGTGGCTATGGTGGTGGGGGAGTTCGATATGATCTCGGACTTAACCAAGGAAGGCGTCGTGGTGAACGTGTACACTGCCCCTGGACAGAGCGTGCGTGGACGGTTTGCATTGGATGTGGCTACCAAGGCGCTGTCGTTCTTCACTGACAGCTTTAGGATCCCGTATCCGCTCAAGAAACTAGATATGGTGGCGATTCCGGACTTCCTGGGAGCTATGGAGAACTGGGGACTGGTGACGTATACAGAGACGTTCCTGCTGGTGGACCAGAAACTCAGTAGTCACGAGATTAAAGCTGATGCTGCACGTGCTATTTGTCATGAATTATCGCACCAATGGTTCGGTAACTTAGTGACGATGGATTGGTGGACGGGACTCTGGCTGAACGAGGGCTTTGCGCAGTATATGGAGTTTGACGCAGCTCATCATATCTTCCCGGAATGGAAGCTGTGGGAGACTTTTGTCCAGGATATCATGCTTGGATCTGCGTTCGTTAAAGACGCGATGGTGTCCTCGCACCCGATTGAGGTGGTTGTGAATCATCCTGACGAAGCTGATGAGATCTTTGATGCCATTTCGTACCATAAGGGATCCAGTATGGTACGCATGTTGTCGGAGTATCTCGGTCGTGACGTGTTCTACCGTGGTGTACACGATTATCTTGTGAAGTTCAGTTATAAGAACACGGTGACTGAGGACTTGTGGGAGGCGCTGGAACAAGTATCTGGACAGAAGTTGAAAGACATGGCCGATACGTGGACCAAGCAGGTGGGATTCCCTTTACTGACTGTGCAACAGGACGCAGACGGCAAGTGCGTGCTCGTTCAGGAGCGATTCTTCGCGGATAGCAGTCTGAGTGCCGAAGACCACACGCTGTGGGACGTTCCGCTGACGTTCTGTACGTCGAACGACCCCACCGCTATCAAGCGTCTTGGGATATGGAGCGCCAAATCTGCCTCATCCAAGGATTCGACGCCCACGACGCCATATGAAGCTGGTGACGAGATCAACAAGCAGATTCAAGTGCCTGCAGGACCTAAGGGATGGATCAAGCTGAACCCGAACCAAACAGGTTTCTATCTTGTCAACTACTCTCCCGCTCTATGGAAACGTCTCGAGATCCCTGTGAAGGAGCAACTTCTTGACGTCCCCGACCGTGTTAGTCTGCTGAATTCAGTGTTCGCGTTTGCTCGCGCTGGTGTGTTGGGCCTCCCGGTTGCTCTGGACTTTACGAACGCGTACGTGGATGAGTCTGCTTCTTTGTGCTGGAAGGAGATCTCGCGCAACATGGGCTATTACTCCAACTTGTTCCGTGATGAGCCGTTCTATCCAGAGTTCCAGCGATACATTCGCACGCTGTTTGCGCATGTGATGCAGCGTCTCGGTTGGGATTCTGATGGCTCTAAGCAAGCGGACGCGGACGAGGGAGAGTTCCGTAAGACGGTGATCTACCGTTTGGGTCTTGCGAATGACCAGGACGTCATCAAAGAAACCAAGAAGCGCTTCCACGAGTACATCGCTGGCGATTCGTCCGCTCTTTCTGGTGACTTGCGTGGCTCCGTGTTCGATATCGAGACGACGTATGGAGAAGCGGCGAATGCGAAGTTGCTACAGGAGCTGTACAACAAGAGCGACTTTGCTGAGGAGCGCAACGACTGTCTGAGTGCTATGGGATCGGTGTCTGGTACAGCCAACAAGCTCCAAGTTCTGGACTGGGCGGTGGAGAATGTGCGCTCACAGGACATTCACTCTCCGTTTATCAGTGTGGCCAGTGACAAGCTTGGTGCGCAAGTTGCGTGGCAATACGTGCAGGACAAATGGGACGTGTTGGCCAAGAAATACTCGGCTATGACGCTGGGCTACATCGTGTGCGGTGTTGTGTCTCGCTTCCAGAGTGAAGCGATGGCCGTAGAGGTAGAGGCCTTTTTGGTGAACAAGGAAACGTCCGGATACAAGCGTCGACTCGAGGTAGCGCTGGAAGGAGTGCGTCTCAAGAGCGCCGCGTACTGCCGCGACCGTGACACGCTGGCCAAGTGGCTGAAGGAGAGAGCCGTTTAAACAGAAAGTTAGCGCACGGTAAGGACAGGATTACATGTTTGCACTGTATTTGTTGTTTGGTTTTAGTTGTCCTAGATTTCCAGAAGTACGCGGTAGCGGACAGCGCCGTCGCTCATTTGGAGACCTACCTTGACCTGGTTCGCCGGCAGCTACTGGATCACTGGACGTCCGATCTTCTTGGACGCCATCTTCAGAGTACTTAACTCATTAGCTTCAAGACGTCGAGCTTCTGTTTCGAGCGAGAGAATGTCACCACCGACGCAGCTGCCAGTGCCATTACGAGCTGGATAGCAAGGTAGCGGTCGACGCCCCTAGGCACAAACGGAGCAGTATTCGCTTGGGTTCCTTAAGACGCGCCCGTGCCTCTGCTCCCACGCTAATGCGATTTCCTACCTTGAGGTCCTGAGGTCAGAGCTGATCAACCACTCACATATACATGACTCCACCCTTACCACCACTGAGAGTGTGGATATCGGAGCCACAGCTTCCGCAGTGCGAGATCTTTATCTCCACATCTCCAACGCCAAGAGACCGCGAATACTTACATCGTGGTCAGGTCTGTGAAGGTGACACGCGATTCTGTCGATGCAGGAGCATGCGCTGCAAAATGCTGGGGCTGCTTGAATCTGATTGCTTCTGAGCTTCTGGACGTCTGCTAGAGTTTTGCTTTCCGCTCAAACCGACCACGCGACTACCGCATTCCTTTTGCACAAGAGTAAGGAGATCTTGTGGTACATGAGCTTTTAACACGGCCTCGAAGCTTCGTGTCTGAAGCATTCGGAGCATTATCAAGCAAGGGTGAGATTTTAGTTATGTGTAAAAGAGTATGACGACTCACCCCAAGCTCGTCACGAAGATGTCTAAAACTCTTCTGAGCCGATATTCGCACTGGTGCCGACTTTGACATCAATGACTTGGCCATCAGAGGGAGCACTGCACTCGATGCTTGAGACGTTCGAAGACGGGCAAGTTCGGGCTTGTTCCAGTTGAGAACGCATTTTTCCACATAAACTGAGGTCTAAAAAGTAATAAAAAAAGGTAAAAAGGTTAGAAGATGTTACTGTGGAATAATACAAACTCGTACCAAGTTGTATAGCCGCAAGTCTTCGTACTTGCAGTATGTTTCACCCAGTTGTAGGAGTAACAAAGCAAGTTTCAGACCACTACAGTGCAGAATAATCGCGTCGAGAACTTCGATCGCTGTCTCGCATAGAAATCGCTTTTCAGTGTTGAAGACAAACGGCATCACGACTGGAATAATTGAATCTGCGTTGACATAAAACAATTAGTCATGGTTGGTCCACTGGTTTCTAAAACGTACCGAAGAAAGGAGCAAGACGCTGTTTAAGCAGGAAAGCCAGGTCCTTCATCAACAGTAAAGCTTCTCTTGCCTGACCGACACTGGCATGCGCTAGTGAATTCTTTATCCTCGACGAGCATTGCTTCCTCGGACTGCTGCTTAAAAGTGGACCATCCAGTTCTCGTAATTGGTCTTCGCTGGTATCGACAAGAAGATTTTATTTACTTCACACATAACAGAGTAAGCACGTAGCCGACAGTCTTACATGTGTGCGCGAAGAACGTCGGGATGTTGAGCAGCGAATCGCTTTAGAGACTGGATCGTAGCGAATTCTTCGCCCCATGGCACCTTGATGCTCTCAATACTTCCAGTTTGAGACTGAAAGAACCTCCGCTTGCGGTTCAATAGAATATCGATATTTTTCCACTCAGCCACTTCGTCCGAGGAATAGACGTTTGCACTTTGACAGCGAGAATGTTGAGAGATGACAGATGCTACCCTTTCTTTCGAACGACATTGGGACGCCCCGGTTGCAGCTCGAATTTTGTCACCGGATATCAAAGAAAACCGTTCCAGCTCTGTACTACATGTAGAAATAATTATGCTCGGGATTTCTGGCAGGTTCTCGATCTCTACAACGTGGTCTACTTGTTCTTGTTTGACTGAAGATAATTGTGATGTAGACGTATCATCAGTTGAATTCGATGAGAGTTTGCAGCTGAAAGAGTTGGGGGTTGTCTGGGTCTCGCCTTGTTCAGGAGCATTTTGGGAGATTGTTTCAGGGACTTGGCTCCTTCTGATTTGAGTCTTAATTACTGACGGATCCAAAGAGGTTTCCTTGTCATTAACAGCATCGGTGAGGTCATTTCCAACGTTGTCATCAAGCGTTTTCTGATCGGGTAGACTGTTTCGTGAACCGCACACCCCTGCTGCTGAAGAGGTCGTATCTTCATTCTTTAATTGGGAAGGCTCATCATTTACAAGAATATCTTCACTAGCAGTACTGTAGGTTCCATTCGCCAAGTGATCTTCAACTGAAGCGCTGGATAGTACCTCCTCCTCGCCATCTTCAGAGTCAACACGACCCTCTTTACAATGTATTTCCTCACACTCGAGTTGGAAAGCAGTGTCTACCACTGAATGTGAGATTTCACTAGTATTCATCGGGTATTCCACACACGGTATAGGCCAAACATTTGTGGAATAGATTTCCTGGGAGCTTGCTGCTGTCAAACACAAATCCTGGGTCGGAAGTTTAGCAACTGGGGGTTCATCAATTGTCAGCGCTTCTTCATGTTTTTCTCCTACAGCACCTTGAAGGTCGCTAATTGAGGTCTCTGTTGGTAGCAGTTCTTCGTCATCTTCCAGTTCAAGCGCATAGGCATCCTCCCTCTCCGTCTCTGATGCGTTTTCAGTCATGATGGGATCACTATGGTCACAACAGTCCTCATCAGTAGCAGCAGGTTCGGCAGTGTCGTTAGGGTCATCTGCACTGGATAAGCTTTCAACATTTACCCCATCCATGTTGGAATCCAACTCATGATCCAGACTAGCTTGGCCAGCATCGTCTTCTTGTTCTTGCTTTGCACTCAGAATCGGCGATAGATGCTCGTTGAGGCTTCCCATACTCATCGAATCCCTGGATGTTACTTGAAAATCTGTCATATCGTTGGCATCACCGTTCGTGTCAGCTCGCGGTAAAGTAGCTGCCATTTTCCCTTCGCTGAGAATCTCATCAACAACTTTGATAGAAAACTGATGTAGTTTTGTCTGCGCAGTAGGAAATGTATCATCTAGTGAATAACTATAAATCTCCACTCCAGCGCTTCCTTTTGAAGAAACTTGAACCAACTCATTTTGATTCATTCCCACTTTCTTCAATGCTATAGACTGCCTCGCAGACGATATCATGTGCTCTACAGCTGTAATACTGGTTGTTCGTATCGTTTCTAAGCCGTCCTCTATCACCGGATGAATATCGTTTGATAATACTTCGAACACGGCTGGTTCATCGCTAATCTTTACTGAATCGAGATGATCATCATTCGCTGTGCTCCGTTCACTTTTGCAAGACTGAAATTGGTGGTCGATGTCGAACGATGTCTCAGCAAACTCGTCTTCAAAGTAAGATGCCACCTCATCGTCCTCTACATCGTCCTCTTCTCTATCTAGCATTTTCTGTATCTTAGTCGAGATTATCTCAACCGATGGGAGATTCTCGTTCATAGTCGCCATCTCCAGTGCTGCATCGAGGGTATATCGGCAAAACTCAACGTGATTAACCAAGAAACGCACCAGTGTCGTATCACCAGACGAAACTCCACGCTCTAATGCAGCCGCATCCCACATTACTACATCGCTCTCTTTTCCTACAAGAATTGATTCAAAACTCGACGCTGCTCCTGTTCCTTCACCCTGATCAAGGGCCTCCTTCAAAACTTCCTCTCGTAATATGTCAATAAGCTCCATCATATTGCATAACTTTCCCCGCGAATCGCATTCTAGCAACACCTCGACGATCTCAAAATGACGATTTATCAATGCCAGTCGAAGAAATTGCGGATGGCATGAGCAATACGACAAGTAATGTGGCAGTAAAATTCTGGTAATGGCAACCGATCCGTTCGTGCACGAGACTTCCAACGCTTGTACAACTGCTTCCCACTGTGTTTCATTGCCAGCGGAGTATCTTCCACTCGATAGAAGCTTTTCCACAATCGAGAAGTGCCGATTCCTTGCTGCTTCAATCAGACATTCAGAATCGACAGTATCCATGTTCGGCGCTAGATCATCAGCTGCAATGTCACGAAGTAACAGAGTTACCATGGACTCGTGTCCGATAATCGATGCAGCGAGAAGGAGTTGTGGGCGTAAACCTTTTGGGGACGAGTCCAAACTCTCGACAATTCTATCCAGTAGATCTTCTCGTCCAATATCTTTATCTTCACTGGATGCTTCTGAAGCAAGGAAAAGAAAACTCTTCGCACGATCTTCCGCTGTAAAGTTGTCGAGATACTTAAAAAGCTCTTCGATAACGTCTCGGGAACTTTGACATTCCAACGTATCAACTAATCGAATACGGCTGTCTCGGATGTCCTTGAACTGGTCATTCCGAAAGAGAAGCCGAATAAATATTGGAGAAGTGTAGACGCTCGCTGCATCCTCGACAAGGGCCACGATCTCGTCATCCGTCGGTGCACAAAGCTGGGTGACCCACGTCGCGTAGTTCGATATCTTATTGTTCCGGTGATCTGTAACTTCGAGATAATACCCCACACGGTCGTGAAAACTCACGAAATTCTTCACCAGCTCACCCACTCGCGACGGAACTCGGTCATCGTTCATATTTTTCTCCTGTTTCTTCGCCACTCGAGGGCTTAAAATAATGGTCTTCCCGGGTCTACACGGCAGCCTAACTTTACGCTAAACATAGTTGGTATTAATACGCTTCTTGACTAAGTTTTCAAGAATATATCTATTCTCTCGCCTTATCTTTTTTTTTATGCAAATCTGGTTCTCAGTTTAGTTGGGCGTATCCAGACCGGCACGCACGCCGCCACGGGCCAACAAGTCTGCAATATCGTCCTTGTGCGGTAGTTGCGACGAACGCACATCCTTGACAAGCTGCTGCACCTTCTTCTCCTGCTTGAGATACTGCAGCGCCATGTTGCCCAGATTAGAGTCCGGAAGCGCCTCCGTGAATTGCAGACCTTCACGGTACACGATCTTGCTGGCCAAACTGGAGGCGACAATCGAGCGGATGTAGGCTAGCGGCACGTTCTGCTGCACACGGTCCAGCGCCAACTCACGGAGTTTGGGCGGCAGATGCTCCTCGATAAGCGTGAACATAACCTGCTGGTCCTGACACACGTCGTCGAAGTGAGCCAACACGGCGTCATGTACGCGCGTGATCGCGCGACTGATCCGTTCACTGGCCGGCGGCAAAGCCGACGTCGGGTCCTTCTTGTACTCACGGAACAGCAGCTGAGCCTCCACGCGTGCCAGGGCGCGTAGCTTGTCCACCACTTCGACCACCAGTTCGTCCTTAACAGCCAAGAACTCGTCCGTCTCGAGCAGCATACTGGCCACGATCTCATACGATGAACACACGACGCCGCACTTGTTCGCCGAGCTGTCCTTAACGATAACAACGCCGGCGTTATCGAACAACAGCTGACGCGCTTCAGGCGTGATGAACAGGTTGGCTCCTTCCACAATCAGACCGGACGACGGCTTCCCGTCCGCGTCGAGATAGTCGCGCCAGTTGTTGTCGTTGATAGTATTGGGACGCCCACCCGCGGGGATGAACAGGTCGCTCTTCACCCGGTTGTGCATCGAGTTACGCGCGCGAATACCTTCTTGCGTGTTGATGTCGTGCTTGACGCCCTTGGACGACACCTTGGACTCGTCAAAGCTCGATAATGGCAGCGATTCGTGCACCAAACGCAGCAGTTCCTGCATGTTTAGACCTTGCGGGTCTTCGATCACACCTGTGCCGTCACAGATGCCGACTATGTGGAGGTTGTCGCCGTACTCACGGTGCAGGATCTTGATGACGTTGCCGGCCACGTCGCCGTCCGTTCCGCCCGTGATCTTGACCGTGAACGGCTCGTTCTTGGGGTCGATATTCTGCGAACGCAACGCGACGTCAGCGAAGACAGCAACGCCTTCACTCGTGACGCCATAGACCTTGTGGTTGAACCCGGCGTCCGGTTTCGAGCTGATAAACGCACGCGGGATCGGGTAGCCACGGTACCCCGCACGCTTGGTCATCCAGACAATGTCACCGGGGATGATGTTCTCGTCCGGACCCAGATAGATGAGCTCGTCCTTGCCGTAATAGTCGACAATCTTGGCCTTCACCTCCTCGTCTGTAGTGTTCAGATCCAGTAAAGCGTCCGAGAAGGCCTTGACGCTCTTACGCAAGATAAAGTCCCGTGGAGCCACGTCGCCAATAGGCCCCACAATGGGGTCACAGAGCACCACCGCCTTGGAGCCACCTTCAGGGATATCCTTGTTCTTGAGTTGCTGAGCGAATGCCAAGTTGTACGCCTCGTTATACTGACGAGCACTCTCCAATGCATGAGCGTCTGTAGAGCTAGGATAGACCATACGCAGTCCACCACGAGCAATATCACGGAAACGCACGTGGAAGCCCTTGAAGCGACGACCGTAGATGAAGAAGACGCCGTACGGAGTGTCTTTGCCCACTGTCCCGTAGCCCATAACCTTCGGGTCCATACGTAGCGCCAGGGCGTACCGATCGCGCACGAACTTGTTGGTACGTAGCGTGCCACGCACTGCATCAGCCATACTGTTAAGCAGTAAGATGGCGTCCTCATGCTCCACGTTACGACGGATTTCTTTCTTGAGCTCTTCGACCACTGCGTCCTGTTCATCATCGGTCATTAGATGCTCCCGTTGTGGGTCGAATTTCGCCAAGAAGAAGTCAGCAATGCGCCACGCTAACGGCAGGTTCTGGCTGTGCTCCAGAGTCTCCATAATACGCGTCAAAGAGTACGCGAACGGGTCCTTTTTGGCCAACACACCGTGCAACATGTTGCCGTACGCGTAGATGAGTTCAGCGCGTGAAAGTCCCAGGTCCGGATGCTGCAGCGTCAAGTGGACGGGACGGTCATCCACCCACTTGAGATACTTGAGATTGCCCGAGATTTTGGACCATTCGAACTGGAAATTGTCCTTCAAAGCCTCTTCACTGGGCTGGACGAGGATGCGGATCATTGCGACGTGTGCTGAGCCGTTCTGAGGGTCTTTAACCACGTCCAAGTGGGCACGGACGACGTTGAGGTTGCACAAACCGAGATATGTGGCTGCCTTCTGCATGAAACCCTTAGGAATGACATTAGAAGCGGCGATAGTGAGCATCGTCTGCGGGACGCCGCCACCGAGCTTGTTCTCGTCGCTGCGGGTCTCCCACTTGTGCTCCACGTCCACAGCGACACCCTCAGTGCCTTGGACGTTGCTGAATAGCTCCATCTGCCACGCTAGACGACGTGGGTTGCTGTACTGCACGTACATGGTGTTACTATGCTTGAGGAACGTGTCCACGGCCTCCGGTTCGAAGTGCGGACCCGGTTCCGGATAGCTACTGTCGCCTGCGTATTTCCCTGCTTGAATATCAGCGCAGAACTGTTGGATATTCGCTCGAGCGAGCTGCTCGTCTTCTGTTTTATTGAGGAAAGGCTCTTGTTGGCCGAAGCGGAAGATGTCGAGGCCAAGAGAGTCGTCCAGGGACGTGAAGATCTTAACACGAGCGAGTGTCGCGCCGTCTACGGTTTGCGGCAATTGGTCGAGCACGTTAGCCAAGCGACCGGGGAAGTTCGCGCCCGAACGGAAGTGCGAGAACACGCGGTGGTCGGTGGAACGCAGCATCACTTCCGGTTGTTGCGCGTTCATGAGCGCCGTGATGGCGTTAAGATGCTGTAGACGATCTTCCTCGTCGATGGAGCGGAAGTACGAGGGCGGCATGTTCTTTAGGAACCAGGGAACGGTCTTGCTGGCCGAGTTCTTTTGGAATTTATCCAATGCACGCAGCAGTTCCTCCTGGGAGACGCCCGTGTCGCCGTTTTGCGCCGCGAAGGCACGGGCTAGAGTCAATTGGAAGGCATTGGCGCGATTCGAGGGCGCAGTGGCTGACGCGCGGCGCAGCGCTCGGAACTGAGAGACTTGCAGCATGAGCCAGGAGGGGGAGAAGGACGCTTGATGCGGACGCGGCGGGATGAGGAATGAGCCAAGCTCGCGACAACTGCAAGCTGACGTACGTTATCTCCACGCTCCCAGCATATTTTTGACTTGGTTTTTGTAAGGGCTTTTCGGCGTTATGAGGTTCGGGTTGAAATGACATAAAATGTAGGACTTACGAATTTGTTTTTGGAGACGACCGTCGTCGTTGGGAGCAATTACTTTCAAAAAAAGGAGCCGTAATAAGCGATAGAAAAATATGACCATTCTTCTCTTGAGCAAGTGCTTCGCGAGGATCTTGTGCAGTTCCTATACAGATTGTAATTTTTGCCTGGGTGGTTGATCTTGACAACTTCCGTATCCTTGTTTTGGCATTACTCAGTTGGATATGACGATGACCAATCAGAGGCGTTCGCGTCGCTTCGTCTGTCTGGTTTTTTTTTTTTTTTTGCGGCATTGACGCTTTCCGCGTCACCGGCATCAAGACGACACCGGGATGCCGGTGCCGATGGGCGTTGGCGTCTACCACCATTCATCCGGTGGCCGTCCGGTGCTTTGCAATGAGACCTGGTTTTAGTAAGTTTGTGAAGGAAACCTCGCTCTCACTTTTCATCTGGAAGTTTACCCTGGAACTGGAGCGATGAGATCGAGGACCTTGACACGTTAAGCTTCCCACCTGGAAGCCAAGTTGAGAGCCTCGACTGCACGGGTTTTCAGATTTGGGGGTCAACGTTCCTCCTGCTGAGAAACACGAGAGGCGTTGAGGGGGGAGTTAATTTTACGAAGTTGGTCGTTGCTACTGTACTCTTGACCCACGCAATACTTTTCCAATTTCTTTTTTTTTCAACCACTGCTCATGAGAGATCAAATGGAGAAAGCCTGCGACTACAACCGAGCCCCGCAGTGACTTCGCGAAGCGACATCCTAGACGGGAGCTACATGTATACATCGGATTTCCGATGTGCATCAAGCTCTAAGACGCTCGGTGTACTCGGTGAAAGGAGAAGCTTTAATCCTGAGAAGCCTTTGGCTCCTTTGGCTTCTCGTTGTAGAGTACAAAGAACCAATCTCTTCTTAAACTCATCGAAAACCCGCTCGCACGAGCAGTTTCTTTGTATGCACCTCTCTGGTCCGCTCACCAAGGCAAGATCGCACTCCAAGAGGCCTTCCAGCGAGTCCACCTCCTGTATCTCGAGTCGTTTCTCGCATGGCAAGAGACGAGTCCGTAATGGTCACGATCGCTATTGTAAAAAAAAATGTAGTCAAAGCTCTGGTCTGGAAGTGCAGTGATCGTCTCTCGCTTTACAATCTGCCGCTAGCACTTCTCAAGTCCCACCGAGTTCTCATCACTATAAGTGATGCATGCTCTCGCACAGCTGAGTGCGCGTTCGCCACTACGGCGCTGCGGAACATCATCAACTTGCCCGTTTCAATGAAAAATTCAAGGTCAAGACGCTCAATTCCGCGTCGTATTCAAGCACCATTGAGATACTACGTGACGCCCAATCCGCTCCTAAGAGGCGTCTTCAAATATCACGGGATACGAAAGCTACTGCAAATACCCTGAGGATCAACACGTTGTGAAAGATGCGTGCTCACGTTGTCAAGGTGTCATGTACGTGCATGGTACTTGTCTGTTGCGATGGTGGTAAGGAAGAATCTCTCGCTGTGTGTGCATGTCCGGGTGACCAGTCCAAACGACAAGTGTCAAATGCTCAGTAAAACCGGCAGTATCTGGTCTATTGTGCGATGTTACGCATGGTAAGATGTCTCTGGACCGCTACTGAGACGGATATCTGTTCACACTCGTTCGTGATTTCGGGCTGTGATCACACCGGGATCGAGATTTACGATGCTGAAGCGATGTGAAAGGCTGATGATTGTCAGAAATTCAGGACCGTTTGAGGCAGTACCGAGAATCATGTGACCAAAGAGAATACATTGTCGGGTGAATGGTGCAAGGAATCCAGCACGACGTTGGCACTGGCCGGGACGTGGTGTGCAGCGATGCGAGCCAACTTCAACTGGCGAAATTTTGCCACACATTTTTTTTTTAGTATTTGTACATGATTGGCGTGTATTTCAACATATTTACGTTCTGGAGCGCGAATTAGCAAGACGGCCAAACTGTAGCAAACACCTTTCTTACATTTTGATAAACAGTTGAAGGTACAGTGTGCTGACCACAGCACACGAGTTCTGGACTCAACAGCACAGGATTCCTGCTTCCAATCTTGCTTGTTGCCATGATTTTCTCCTTAGAACTCCCGAGCCAAGACCGAACTCTGCAGTGATGTCTGGTCGAAGTTGGCAGTGTGGAAAGAGTTCAGACTAAGCGCGCGTTTGCGCTGTGGCACCTCGTCGTCGCAGTCGCGATGCTGATACGTCGGCTGCTGCGTCGCCGAAAACGGTCGATGCCCCAGTCCTTCACTGTCGTCGGTGTTGTTGTTGTCCGGGAGCGCGCTCCGGTTGATGGCCAGCGAGCATAAGCTACATATCGTCAGCTTCATCTTGCCCACGACTGGAATGTCCGCGTTGATAGTTAACTTGCAGCGGCCACAAATGACCTAAAGACACAACAAGACGCAAAAGAGAGCGTTAATTACGATACTCCCAGACCGAAGAGCACTGCGAGCAAGAGAGCCAGGAACACGTAGCGTAGCTGGACAGGAGCTGTCCTGTTCTTCAACGCCTCCTCTGTAACTTTCACTCTTCTCAAGGCATTTCGTCGTACCTCTCCACATTTCTGGCAGTTGTATCTCCTCTTAAAAGTGCCGATGTCGTCCACACATACAAAGCACGTCTTGACCTTCCCCGGTGCCATCAGTTGGCTACGACGAGCGAAAGTTTGGTTGGCCACACGTTTCATGTTGACGTATTTCTTGAGGTGTTCCAGACCCATGAGTCTCTGCCGCAGTCCCTTGGCTGCAACCCACTGCGGTACGTTGCCCTTTAAGTCGGTATACACGGCCTGAACAATGTCCAACGTCTTACGGTCTCGTTTGCTCTCGATGAAGACGATACCTGAGCGATACATGCTGCCTCGAACGAAGCCGTGGGACTTTTCCATGTCCGGGCAGCTCTTTATTTTAACCGAGTGTAGACAGCGAGCGAAGCCTCGCCTCCCGTCTGGTAGAGTAAAGCGACGTTGAATCTCCAGGTAGCAGTAGTCTCGGTTGCGTACCATGACGTAGGGCGAGCGTACGGCAGACCAGCGGATGCCGATGAAGACTGTGCTTTCTTCTGGACGGTAGGGTAGAATTTCGTAGAGCACTACAGAGTGTAGAATGTCTGGGGATAATTTCTTCTCCAGCTGCATATTGGGGTGGGCCATGTCCACATCGTACAATTCCATGATTTCCTCAATTGCGCCCTCCACTTGAGTGATACCGCGGAAGTAATAAACGCCTCTCTTGGTCTCGGATTTGACCTTGACCTTCTCCACGCGGATGCTCTCTAGTTGTTCTGTGTACTCCCATTTGAGGCCGTCCTGGAACTGGTCCTCGTCGCTGTCCAGACTCGAGCCTGTGCTGCTGAAGGCCTCGCCCGCCGAGAAACGAAGCAGCTCGTCACACGCGCGGTTGGCCTCGTGCGTGATCTGCTCCTTGCGCGACGCCGACAGCGGAGGACAGTGGAATTTCTTCCACTTGGGCTGCTTGGACTTCATCGTCTCTGCTGGTTGACTGCGAAAATGGAGACTGGGTGGGAGGGACCGCGTTTTCCGGACAGATGGATTCATAGAATACCAGTTTATGGAAACTTTCTAAATAGTACTTTTATGTTCTAAATCGGCCGATTTGAACGTCGATTCAGCAACCGAAATACTTATTTTGGTCGACACTCAAAATAACCCGAAAAAGTCAACGTCAAGCTACGACTGTTAACTCAGAATTGCGAGAAAGCTTGACAGATCCGATAGTAGCGTGAAGAACGCCTTAAGTCTCGGAAGTACCAGCCTCGTCATCTGGTTTGGCGGTTGCCACCACCCTGGTGTGGAACTGCAGGAGATCTGCATCGCTAACAGCCGGCGTCGTTCGCGTTGGATCGGAAGTTTGGTCTCGCAAGCGGTTGGAGGAGTGGCTAACTCGATAGTAGCTGATTTATTTGGATCGGACGGCCAACAGACTCTCCCCATGTAACTAGCAGGAATAAGAAGGGTTGGAAGGTGTAAACGTCGCATTGTACGAGGGGGCAACTCCTACCGTTCCCGACAACGCCTAAC